GGGGGCATGGATGAAACACAAAGGGGGGAATGAAGGGGGCACGAGGGGGCAATGGATGAAACACAAAGGGGGGAATGAAGGGTGCACGAGGGCGCAAGGGATGAAACACAAAGGGGGGAATGAAGGGGGCACGAGGGGGCAATGGATGAAACACAAAGGGGGGAATGTAGGGGGCACGAGGGGGCAATGGACGAAGCACAAAGGGGGGAATGAAGAGGGCACGAGGGGGCAATGGATGAAACACAAAGGGTGGAATGAAGGGGGCTCGAGGGGGCAAGGGATTAAATTCAAGGGGGGAATGAAGGGGGCTCGAGGGGCAAGGGATGAAACACAAGGGGGAATGAAGGGGGGGCAAGGAATGAAACACAAGCCGGCGGACACGGTATTTATGTTCTGGAAGCTGTATAGCCTTGTGTCTCTTAGGAACTGCCGGGGGCCCTCAAAACCAGACAAAAACACATGTTTTCCAAGCAAAACCATGTTTTTTGCTGGGGACAACCAGGTTTTGGATGGGCTTTGGTTCGGGCCCAGGTTGAAGCCCGGAAAACGCTCCTCCGTCAAGGCCGGCGCTGCGTCAGTTCCATCTCAGATCTTGAAACTGGGAGTCAAAGACGATGAACAAACAAGGGTCTTTAAGGGGCTTGAAAGGGAATTGCCTTTACTTCGCTAAGGACGAGTAATTATAGTCTTTGGACTTCTAACATTTCCATTCCGTTTTGGGCTTTTGGTTTCAACCAACTTGGAATTCAGACATGGGCAGAGACTCAGGAGACTCACAGGTGAAGGTACGAAAACTGAAAGCGACTTGCTTCGCAGGACCATGAATCCTTTGGTGACCCATGCACGAAACCAGGACACGAGCTTCTTCGACCAGACACGGACTACCCGACGCTGCCAGGACAACAAGAGGGGCTCAATCGCCTCTTCGCAGCAGGCGGGGGTTCGGTCGGTGTTCTGAACGCGGGCAGCAGGCGGTTGAGTCTCCACTTCAAGAGCTCCACTGCAAGATGTTGAAGTCGTGCATGTAGATCAGTGGAACTCAAGCGTCTCAATTGCAGCTTCCCTTTTTGGCTTTCGCCAGCCTGAACCTGCGCCCCATGTCGCACTTGACACCCAGGTGTTTTTTGGGTTTGCAAAGACCTTTTCGGAGCGTCCGCTGCGTCTCCAACCGTTGGGTCCTAGCTCCTCCGCGGCTGGTTGAGTTCACCGGTCACCTCGCTTCTCGCGTTTCCTCTCGCCCCGCCAGTCCCTGCGGCGCTTGTCCTCTCGGGGATCTTCGCAGGCCCCGGTGGGGTGGGACAGCCAACTGGCATCCCACTACCATGAAGCCACAGGTGAGAACCATGATGGGAAACAATCCAGTATGGTTTAAATGGAACACCATCCCCCAAAATGCATGGCTTTTCGTGCTTTTCTTTTTTGCTCAGCGGCTTGGATTCACAGAATTAGCTTTTGCTCTTAGCATCATGAGCCATGTGGTGCCTTCTAATCGCGCCTTTTTTTGTTGAGAAGTTCAACTTGTCATGCCAATTTTTCTACTTAAGTCGCTGCGGCAGGGCCGCCAGACTTCCAAGCGATCCTCCCTGCGAACAGAGGACGGTGTGTCTCGCAAGAGAGTGACTGCTCGTGCGGCTCATGAATTTGGGTTTTGTATTGACATAGGGAAGACCCTCCCCTAACCAATGGGCTTTTCATGTCGTCCTCGGAACGGGGGTCCCTTTCAGGTCGACCTTTCCATGTCCCTGTTTTGATACACACCCATAGGCAGTGTGGACAGTTGAGCTTGGGCAAGAGCCCATCACTTTGCCATCGACGCTTTAGGATTTTTCAGGAACTTCTCGGTTCTTGTTCGAACACATTTTGGAGCACATAAAGGTTTAAACAGTGGGGGCGAACCTCTAGGAGGTGACGTTTTGGGGCAGGTTCCGCATGTTTTGCTTCAAGAGTGGGAACTGTATACGGCTGGGTGATCCACATTTTTTCGGTGTGCAACAACATGTGAAAACCGGCATCAAGGCTTGTCCAACAATTGCACAAGATTCAATCTTATTCTATATCTCACTAATTGTATATCACCAATGGGATATAGACCAATGGGTTGAATGAGGGTTGAAGATTGTATATCCCATCACAAGATTGTATATCCCATCTTTGTCTATCACTTATTTTTCCCAATGGGTTGAAGACATCTCCGATGACACATGATCTCTCCGAAAGAACCCGCTCGAGGACAGCCGCCCAGTCTCCCGTGGGTCATCCCAGGCCGATGTCGTCCGCGCCGGTACCGCGTTGAAACGGAAGGGTGAACTGGTACAGGTGTTGCAGCTGACTCGGTAGAGCAACTACGGATTTGTTTTTTCTGTGGATTCCTAGTAAATGGATCGAAATTGGATTTGCCGCAAGAGGCTATCGATGTGTTAGTTGTCGGCTACATCCCATATCACACCCCTGCGCTGTCATCGAGCGCTGTCGCGAAGAACGCGCTTGCGCAGGGGGCTGACGGCAAGCGCTCCTCCCTCAAGCGTTCGTCCCTGACCCCGCAGGAGAGAGGGAGACCAGGGATGTTGAAAGAGAAAAGTAGTCGGTAGTTCAGGATGTTTGTAGCCTGGTGGTGAATGGCACAACGACCTGGTAAATATATCCTGCAGATTCAAAGCCACTCGTCTCCCTGGTGTTTGGCCATAGCTATCTTGGGTGAAAGCGAGGTTCAATCAAACCAGGGACCTGCGACGATGCCACGATGCTGTAAGATAAGATCCTCAACCAAGCTGCCAAGTTCTGTTTGCGATATTTTTGCCCCGTGAGCCCTCACACCTTTGCGCCATGGGTTTTGGCAGTCTGCTCCACTCTGGCCTTAGTTGGTCAAAACGTCGTTTGGGCATTCCTGCCAAGGTTGAAGCCTCTACACTTCCAACCAGAAAACTCCTTGAGCTCCTCCAAAATTGCTCCAAATCCCCTCATGTTATTCAGAAAAAAAACCACCCAAAATCGGCAAAAGACTCCTCCCACCGATTTTCATGACAAAAAACAAAACGGTTTTTTCCCTTTGAGCCGCTCCCTTTCTCCACCCGTCACACAGGACCGCCGCCGCTCCTCGGGCGGCGCCTCGCGGAGCTCCCGCCGCGCGGGCGCAAGCGACGCACGTGCGACGGGGCGTTGTCCGGTGGGACCGGTGTGGCGGGACTGTGGAGGTTCCAAGGGTCACCCTCAGTAACTAGCGCAAAACAGGAACCGCGAAAGGGTCACCATACTACTTATCATATTTGTTATAAAATCTGTCAAACAAAGAGAAAGCGCTGTTATAGTGAAGCAAAATCTGAAGGTTCTTTGACGCACAGCACTTCCTTGGTAGCAACATGTCAGCAACATGGCACCATCCACAACGAGAACACCCCAAACCACTCCACGCCGCTCTGACCTCTGCATCGTCCACGCTTGGAGCCAAGGACCAACTTCTCAGCAAAGCTCGCGGCAATCCCTCTCGCGAGAAGCTTCGCGGCAGTCCTTGGGGGAGGAGCTCGACCACACGCGGTCGTTGCCCACCACGAACGAAGAGCCTCGTTTCTTCGCCTCGTGTTGTGAGGTGATCACGGCGGACCACCGCGAGAAACGCGTGCGCACGGCTTTTACACCCACCCAACAAGTGGCTCTCTTGAAGACACGTCGTGTTTTTCCCAGTGCTTTGGGAGGGGAATGGTATGTTGGAGACTGGACGGGGAATTCAGCTGATGAAGAGTGTGGTTTTGCATGATCAGGCATGTTCCTTCCATTTTTGGAGCCTTGAGCGCGCAAGTCTTTCCAGGACGGAGGTAGCCGGAAGAATTCTCAGGACTGTCGGTCTACCTTGCCGTAGTCCTCGGAATGCGATCAGCACACAGAGGGAGAAAGATGGAGAAAGAGGAAAGTGCTTCCCTTTGGTCTCAAACTCGTTTTGATGTCATCACGAGATGAGTCAACTTCATTACACTTTACTTTACTTACAATCTGTTGAAACGGGACAGGACGAACCGCACCAAGAAACGAAACAACGAAACACCCGGCCTTCGCTTGTCTAAGACAGGAGGATCTGGGGAATCTGGAGCAAGATCAGCGCGAAGGCGCGAGTTGGACCGAAAAAGGGTGGCTGTTGAGCCCGTTCGCTGGTGAAACGGCTCTCAGCTCTAGAAAAGCCCGTTTTCGAAGTTGTTGAGATGACACGTTCATGAAGACGCTGTTACTTGAGCATCTTCATTTTGTTTCTGATATCTTTGCACCTAATTATGTGCGGTTCCAAACACCAAAAGCTCAACACCATGACATATAGCATTCGGGTGGTCTCTCTCAAGGACTTGAGGACCGACTCACATCAAACTGCGGCCGCGTCACATCCGAAAAGGCTTCTCCGATGCGGAGGCCTGGCCGGGATGGCGAACGGGCCTTCGGTGGTAGAGACACACGAGTGTTTGGAAGTCAGAATGGGACGATGACAACCCTAATGATAGCCTAGCTAACAGATTCTTTTTGTTTTGCTCGGAGTTGTGGAGGTCTTTTTGTTGCGCCCCACGTTTACCATGCTCCTTTTTCAGATCGTGTGTCACTCTCCGAGTGTTCCTCCTCCGTGGAACCTTGTGGGAACGGTCAACGGACCGCTGAGACGTTGAGAAAAAAAAAGAGCAGTGCTGCTGTTTAGATCTGTCAACGGTCCTACCACCCCCCTCTCAATATCCTCTATGAAATGGGTGGTAGGACCCCCAGGTCCAGGTGGATGAACTGCCTGAAGGGAGAAGGACAACCTGCCTTTCTTGTTTTCTTTTTGCTCCATCATTTCTAGAACACATGGCACAGTGGATGATTCTTCCAAACGGGGTGAGTGTGTCAACCGCGCAGTATCGATCAGCATCCCTTAAATTTGACCAAGACTCCTGGAAACGAACCAATCCCAACTCTCAAGCCTCACAGGGCAGCACAGGCGAGCCAGCTTCACCAGAGGCACGAGATGATGTGTTGAGATATTTGGAGAGGGGATTTGGGAGGGTGGTGATCTAGCTTTGAGAGGGCTAGCGGCCAGCTATGCCCGCGAAGTAAACGTCTTTGTTTCCATTTAAGGGGCCAGGGCTCTTGGTAACCCATCTTTCAATATCTTTCAAACCTTCCGGAGTGAGAAAGACTTCCAAAAGGCACTCGAGAGCTCGTTGAAGCTTCAATTCGCCTTTAACGACCAAGACCGAGGACCCCGCAGCAACTCTCTTAGTGATCTCTCTGTGCCCCTTCTCACCACTCGCTGGGCTCCGGAGGAACTGGAGGCTTCACCCTCCGAGGCACCGGCGAGCGCGGGCGCGCATTTTTTCAGCTTTCACGGGCGCTTTCACGGGCGCCTGTCTCGTAGAACTGTCACGTGCTCTACATGGTCAAGTTTAGGCTCATTTGATGGCCCATATATTATAGTGCACAGAGGGCCGTCATGGGCCCTTCATGGGCCCTTCTTGGGCAGTTGATACCTGTTCAGAATGCCGTTCATGACAGCCACAGCCACCACCGTTGAACCCGTCGCGACTCAGCTGCCCGGCGCCTTCGCAGGCCGGTCTGTCGGAGGTCTCCGAAGGCGCTGTCCTGGGGCGGGCAGCGGGCATTGGCCTTGCTTGGGAGAAGTGTGGAGAAGGACTTGGAGCAGGTGGATTTGGAAGGTTTCTGTTGAGCTTTGTTGATGAGTCACACATGGAATCCGTGGAGAGGAGAACAATCTGTATACTCGTATTTGGATAAAGTAGCTAATGAAATGGTTCATTTCACCCCGGTTCAGCAGGGTAGTGATCAGTGATGGAGTCTTTTGGCGATCCATGAGCATCATGAATGTTTGGACTGATCGAAGAATGGCAGCACTCTGGCAGGATGTCCTCTACCCTCTACATGTTCTGAAGCCGAAATGTGTCTCTCCCCAAAAGCTAAGAACAGGTGTAACAGGACAAGTACTGCGGATGAAATTCATTGGTCCAAGCCTCCAAGCCAAGGATTTTTTGTTTGCGCCGACAATTTCTGTCACAACTGCCAGGGCCGCCGCCCTTGCCAGAAGATCTGGGATATCAATCGGGCTTCCAGGCCGCAGGAACCTCAGGGAGCTCAGCAGGATGAACATCCTTGAGGGAACAGCCAGAGAGGTGCTCTTTCAAAGAGAATGAACAGAGTTTCATCACGACAAGAGGTCTTCAGACACTTCAGCATATATAGTTACTGTACATAGTTCGAGTCTAATTCAGCTGCTGTAGCTTGCTTGGAGGGCTCACAGTTTTGTTTGTTTTCTTTTTTTCCAGTTCGGCGGGTTCCACGCAAGAACTATCATCACCTATCATCATTTTGGCAACACCAGGCCAAAAACAACACCCAACCGCCACATGCTTCGCCATTCGCCCTTTCCTTTTTCTTTCTCGTCCACCACTTCGAGCGGAGCCAGTTGGAGCGAGGTCGAGGACAATCGCTTGGATGATGCCATGGCCTTGGTGCGTACCCCGATGTGGCCGTTCACCAATGAAGTGGTCCGGGGAGCTCAGTAGTTGGAGAAGAAGAGACGAACAGACGTGAGGAGGTATGACTTTTTCAGGATGAGCTAGGATTGGATTGAGCGAAAGAGGTGAATGAAGGAGGAGGCGAATGAGGAAGACATCCAAGAAGCCTTCAGATTCAAGTTCAGTGCCTGGCACACACGGATCTATAGGTATCATTGGAAAGGGCATTTTCTTGCGGAGGAACAACCTGGAAACTTTCCTTCAGCAATCCCAATTGATGGAATGGGATTGCATGCTCTAATGTCGGGGGTGTTCTGGCAAGATACCTAGAGCTTTTCTCAGATCCAATCCATTCGGCCAGACTCCTGTGGAAAATGACGAGTCAAGAAGGATCCCATGTAGAACGGCCAACAACGTCCGTTGCGCGTGGCGAAACACCTTTGCGCAGCTCGCCGTGCTGAGAACAAGCGGGGCTGGACCTTGCTCCATGTGGCCGCCTACAATGGCCTGGAGGAGAGACGTTCTTGAAGTTTTTGGGTGGCCACAACCTAGGCATCGCTACTAGTAGCAAAGGGCATCGCTACTAGGAGCAAGGACGCTACTAGTAGCTCCTGGCCATACTACTAGGAACAAGGTTCGCTACTATAGGGGCTCCTGGTCAACCAAATGTCTGGTGCACCTGGTGCATGGTCATGGATGCTCCGTGCACATCGGCTAGAGCGGCTAGAGTGAGCGAAATTTTTTTAATGATACGGCGACCACCGAGATCATCGTCGCATCATCGATGGACGGCTTCAGAAGGCTGGAGACCGAAGGGTGGCGGCTGCCAGGAGCTCTGCCGGGCCATGTGCCAGCGGAAGGACTTCTTGGGCATCGACCAACCTGAGAAGGCCCCGGGGCAGCTGCAGGTGCTGGTGGATGTGAGGGGGAGGTGTAGAAGAGAAATGAAGAGAGAAAAACCGGAAGTGCTGACTGCTCTTCTTTGGATGATATAAACATGGTGGCTTCATGTTCAGTGGGTCGTGTGGAAAAGCACTGCAGAGGAACATGTAGAAGCTGATGTTGTTCTGTGTCCCTTCTCCAGAGATGGATGTGACGGATGGACATAAAGATAAAAAGCTTTGAGATAGGTACCGAACAGCATCACAAAAAGACAAGTTGAAGCTGGCGCCGAGCACGTCACCCACACCATCCACACCAATCACACCAATCACACATCAATACACTGCACCAACCACCAAGACCGCAGCCACCAGCAAGACCAACCCTTGGACCATGTGTTCCATTTCACGCCACGAACGCGCTCCTGTACTCATGACCAGACATGCCACTAGCGGCTAGGGGACCCACACTCGGGCTTCGGAGCCTTACCCTTGGAGCATGCAACTCTATTTTAAAGATACCATCCAAAACCCCACAGGACGGAACCACACCACATCATCCACCACATCATCCACACCATGGATCCCCGGAACGCCCCGGAACTGCCGGAACGATCCCTGGAGCCCTCGAGCTGCTCGGTTCGCTGTCTAGCTGCTCCCGACAGGACTTCTGGGCTACGCCCCTGCACCTGGCCGCGGGCAAGCGCCGTGCGGGAGCACGGGAAAACCACCCCAGCGGGGAGCAGGGGAGCACCCATGCTACGCCATGCCACAGGTGAGGTAATCGAAGGAAACTCTGGTGTTTTCAGCCGTCCCTCGGAGAGAGAGGCACACAATTAGGCGCCAATGAGTTGGATAAAGATGCAGAAAGCAGGGGCGCCTTGTCTCACTTGAAATGAAGGGTCTGCGTTGATTTTTTTGGCTTCTGAATGGTGCTGGGTTCCTGAAGTGGATAGAAAAATCCTGGCATATCCTAGCTACCTTGGGACACCTTTTGTCAAGCTGAGAATGAGTGGATATGAAATGGTATGAACGGAAGAAGGGTGTAGGGTTGTCCCGCCGACCGCTGAAAGTGAAGCGCAAGAGGTCCTGAGTGCTGCAGCGCCATCATCGAGAGTGGCAGATGCAACCAGGTCAGCCATGGGCGATTTTGGGGAACGGCGATGGGTCCATTCTAACTACCCACTCATTTCGATTCCAATTGATCTATCCGAGTCGCTGTGGGAAGAAATGGAATCGCTTACATCAATGACATGTCGATCGTTCAAGTGGCGACACGCTGAGCGTTAAAAGTTAGAGGCAAGTTTTTACTGTCCTGTCTCTTTCTCTTGTTTACGTATTCAACACAGCTTTAATACATGCTCGAGCCTGTTAGTTCTTCAAACTTTTAGTAAGTTGCTATTGGGCGTTTGGGTGTCTTCCTCAATCCTTTGATTGTCGCGATAGGTTGTAGTTGTAGCAAACCTTGCGGGATTTGGCTGAGCAGCCAAACTTGAAGGTTTGAGCTCATGCACCCCTGGTCATTCCCAAGACTTGTAGTGGTCCATAGCAATGGAGTTCTAGGATATTCAAACGTTCCAGATGATCATGGAACACATGAGGTCTTATGAACCAAAGCCTCATGGTCTCTCATAGATTCATAAACGGCCACAAGCCCAGCCGCTGTTTATGGTTCCAGACGCTCTTTTTTGGTTCGTGGCTTTGTTCACCCAGGTGAATGCCAAAGACATGCAGGGCCGGACAGCACTTCATTTGGCAGCCTTACGAGCTGACAAGGAGCCGGGAGGCTTAGCGAGGGGAGACTCGATAACACTAGGGATAGGCGCTACCCTAGGCTTACCATTAATAGGCGGACTATGCCGAAGCAACGACAGGGATTTGACACGACAAAAACCAGGTCGTTCCCATTTTTGTGAATGGTGGTTGAACGGAAGTCGAAGGGGTCTAGGGATTGAACAGGATTCCAAACCGTTGCATGGACGTTGCATTTGGTAAGTCAGTGAGACACTCAGAGCTTGACTCGTGGCGGCCAGTTCCAGGGACACTTTCACGGAGAATCCATTTTCCAATGTGAGAGGGTCAAGGTGACTCCAACCAAAAGCACCCGAAGATACCTGAATAATGAATGCCCAATGTCACTTTAACTTTATAGTTTAAACTTCCCAATCAGAATGTTCTTCAATGAACAACTCACCATGCGGATCTATTTGGGAGGCCGCAGACTCTAAAGTGCACCGACCAAACACCCGCAGCCATTGCGGAGCTCGGTGTCCGAGGTCCTATGCAGCCATAGCGGCGCACCCGGACTGCAACCCCTTGCTGCCGGACAGCCAGGGCAAGCCAGGGGAGCCCAGAATGTCCTGACGAGATGGGAGTGCGACTCCTACTTGGTGGTGGAGCAGTTCTCATGCGACCACCGTGGAGCAGCTTGGGCTAAATAAAGCTCGGGTCGTGTGTGGGTCATCTTTCGCTCCCAACGACCTCCCCAAAGCGGGATCTCTACGGGCTCGGTCGCCTCCTTGCACCGCCTCCAATCCGCGCCTCGACGAGGTCGGCCTTGGAATATGCCGCAGATCGTGGCCTCAAGGCAGGTGGCGGATCAGTTGGACCGGCGTCGGGATGAAGAAAGGGGGAGGATGAATTCATGGGACATAGTAGTAACAAGTGCCACGCTAGTAGTAACAGGTGCCTTACTAGTAGTAACAAGAAGCTAGTAGTAACAAGTGCCACGCTTGGCAATCCCAAAGGATTGCCTTTCTGAGAGTGGTTTCTATGGCTTCGACTTGAAAGAGGCTGAAGGCTCTGAATCAGTGTGTGCTGGAATCTTGAGCTCGGTGCAGGTGGATTGCCAAGTGCCAGGACAGGTCTATGAACGAAACTGCTCTGGGAAGGTAGATCGAAATTGCTTGTTCTGAAGTCCAAAAGAATGAATCTCAGAAACAGACCTGCATCGTTGTCACTGTGCATCCTGCATTCGCATCTGACTCACATGGTGGACTCTGTAGCTTCAGAAACCGCTCGCCTTGGGCTTTGGCTTGCGTGGTTTTGACACCTGCAGTGTTCAGGACACACCGAAATTGATTTTTGAGGCCTTGAAGGTGAATTCATGCACACCAAAGGACTTGTGTGATTTTCCAGATGAATCTCCAACGTGCCCCTGCGGATGTCTTCCAAGAAGCATCCGAGCAAAGCTGTGTCACCTGCATAGAAAAGGGAACGCATGGAGGCGCAGAACTAGAATGGAGCCAGGCAAACCTTGAAGACTATTTGCCCTACAACGATGTTCTGCTATATTGTGGTGTGCAGCTACTGGGCTTAGCTTCTTTTTGTGTGTGCTGTGCCCATTCATTGCAGAGCTCATTGCAGATATTGGATGATGCTTACAAGAATGAAGGACGCCGTTTGCTTCAACTGAAAACGAGTATTTGTTGAACTAGCCCATTTTAACGCAAGAAAGCTCTTCAAGAGTCGCCAAAAAGCGGTTGACGCGGTTGAGAGTAGCCTCCTAGGCATCCTTGGACAGCTCTGGGCATGATTCACTTGGCTCGGCAGGTGCTGCCTTTTGAGTAGCCCAAATCCCAACAGAGCACAGACAGCTACAAAAGTTTGTTGAGCTTTCCAACCTGCTTCGATTGGAACAGTAGTCCAGGAAGGTGTCAAAGTCATTGTCCACTCATCCCTCAGGTACCACTCTCGCAATGCTTGGATGCATGACATCCGCCACACCCCAACCTCGAAGACACGCACATCAGCTGTACATGTCATTTCACCATTGAACACAAGCAACTTCAGCCACACAAACAGGGACCCCCCAATGATTATCCACTGATGGACGGTGAAAAAAAACCCAAGCAACGCGACGTCAGCCTCGACAGGTCGCATCAGCCTCCACACTCGGTTTCTTTTCCGCCGACGGATCCCACACGAGTCCCGAGTTTCGACCCCGCGGGGAGAGCGCACGGAGCACGAGACGGATCGAGCGGATCGGCGGACCGTGCCGGATGTGGCGATGGACGAGCCGTGCTTCTTCACGGTGACCAGCAGCGATGACCCGAGTCCGTTGCATTTTCAACTGGGCCACTTGGAGCACTGTGGGGGTGTGTAGATGTGGACGGTGGGAAGGAGGTGGAGACTTGTGGAGACAGTAGACGATGGCAGAGGATCTGAACAGTGGCACCAAATGATGCCGGCAGAAGGTGGAAAGGAATGGAGAATTGGTGGACAAGCGGAGAAAGGTGACAGAGAGAGAGGAGTCGTAGCTTGAGATTGGGGCTATGAACGGCTATGAATCTATGCGGAAGACAATCATAAATACCACCTATGATCCTGCGAGTGTGTTGCTATGTTTGACCTCCCCTGCCATGTCGGCATCGAATCTGCGGTGATCCACTCCACTCCCACGACACGTGAGGCCCCACAGATGATCCACTGAAGGTGGGTCGGAACAAAAAATGCGCCGTGGCACGGAGCGGCGGTGTGGCGGTGTGGCGGTGTGGCGGGGTGGGTGAGGCGAGTGCGAGGTCTTAGCAGGCGATTCGGCGAAGTGAAGAAGGGAAGCGTGATTTGGGGGGGTCAGTGATCAAGCAACCGCACAAAATCAATGTAGAGGAAGATATCTCATCATGTTCCACGAGACCCTTTGGCATCTCGGTCTTGTGGAGTCCAGAGAGTGTCCATGCTCGCTTTCAAGGGCCTTTGGGCCTTTGGCATCCTTTAGGTATTATGAAGCACGTTCACCCGCACCCCAAAGAATGTCTTCCAACTCATACAGTTGCTCCTTTTCCCCGTTTCTTCCCATGGTCACCTTCTCCCCTCCATTCTGTACCGCCCACGTGATGAGGTGGTCTCGTGGTGAATCAGCCGGGCGTCTCCTGGGTCCACTTCGAGATCAAGTTCTCGCGCCTCGGCTTCCCGATCCGACGCCCCGCGTCGCGGGCGTGGCGCGAACGACGGTGGCGCGGCGGTGGACAAAGGCCAGAGACGGGTGGTTTGATGGTGAAGGACTTCTCCACCAATGGCGTGGGCCTTCGTTGCCGTGGCAGCGACATGACCAAGGCGCGGAATGCAGGGGAATGCAGGGGACGGAGCTTTTGAGTGGATTCAGGGGATGAAAGCGATGGAAGTGGGTGTGTGAAGTGGTGAAGAGATGTGGAAACAGATATGGACATGGTTGGTGATGGACTTGCTGAGACTAGCTGAGTAATTAGCCCGTGCTCGGCCTGCGGCCTGGGATTTCAGAACTGAGCAGATGGTTTTTTCCACGGTCTTCCACGTGCTTTCGATACAGCGACGGGGCAGGTGGAGAAGGACGTGGACACCGAGCTTCGCGGCGGCAGACCGAAGCCGAAGAAGTTCTTCTTGTTGGTGGTTTCTGTTGCTTGTGGAAGTCACAGGGACGATCCTTCTTCCCTCCCTCTATACTCGACGAGGCTCCCGAGCGGTGCCACCCTGACGGTGCCCTTTCGGGTGCGCCCGAACCAGCCCGGCGAGTCGGGGGAGCCCAGGCGGAGCAAATGCCAGACGACCAGGAAATGGACAAAGGCGCCCAAAACCAGTGAAGTGTGGTTAAAAGGAAGGTCTCCAGGTCCATTTCAAAATCAGGTCTGAGAGTGTGAAGTGGTAAAGAAGAATTACCCTGGACACTCCTTGCTTTCCGCTTTGGGGAAGCTATGATGGTGAGCCTGCCTACATTTGCACCCAACAACTTTACATGCGTCCGAGCCCGTGTCACACATCCCAAACATCGCTGCAAGTGGTTGCCGTGGACTGGTCTGGAGGTCTCCCCTTTGGCTCACTCCGCAGCTTGGACAGCGGGACCGACCGAGGTGTCAAACCTCCTTGACCTTCAGCATCGACAACGTGGACTCGCCCTCCAGCGAGCTCACGGAATCGGAGGCGGAGCGATTGGTTTTTTTCTCGGTCTCGCGCGGAGGGAGTGCGAATGTGCTGAACAAACACTGATAGAAACCCATGGATTTCACAACTGATCTAAGAAACCCTGCCTGTTCTGTCTCATGCATGTCATGATCGCTGCACTTTTAATTGAAGCTTCACACCTTTAAGTGGACAGCTGCAGAAGCTTCACCCTTCCTCCGGTCCGATCCACTTGTGTTGGGTCCATCCGCGACCGATCCTTCTTCTGTTGCGTCAAAAGACCAATTTGGATTCCGCGCAGGAGGCTCCTGAAGTTCACGAGGAGCTGCGAGCTGCGCCTCTTCACTTGGGCCTCCCTCCGATAGGAATTCCTCTTCACACGACCGCGCGAAAGTGGTGACCGACGATGTTCCAATATGCGGAATAAAACCAATCCAGTAACCAATCCATTTCGGTTCCTCGCTTAAGCACATCGTGTGTGTTTCTTCCGGTCCGACTGGCAGAGGTGAACGCGAGTGGGGAGCGGTGAGCGGTCGTTGCGGTCGGGTCGCCCGCCAGGAGGTCGAAACCGTTGGGATCCCCAGTGGGCTTTGTGGTTTTGGGGGTTTGCTGAAGCCCAGGTGGATTTAGGGTTACTGAAGGATTTGAGTCTGATTGAGCAATGGATTTTGTTAGACAAACACTGGCCATGATCGACTGATTGATGGCATGTTCAGGATCTTTACATAGGCCAATAATTATATATAAGTGCTGACAGCTACTTGTAGAACTTGATGCTAAGGAGCAGAAAGGCAAAAGGAAGAAACCAGAAGCGAAGGAGAAGGGTGGCAAGGCACGTCCAGTTTGAGCAGTCGTGCAGCTTGGGCTCCCGACGATTTGCGTGGCCCAATTGAATGTGGGAAGTTTTCTGCATGTTTGCGTGGAATGATAGGTTCAGTTCTGAACGGTTTTTTCATGATGATTTCCCACCACCAATAATGGTCCACATGACATGTGAAACGTGCTGGGACTTGCAGGAGAAGAAGAAAAAGATGAAGCATGTGTCTTGGCAACAGATGAATGACCAATCCGAAGCTCTTCCTGCATGAGCAACGCTACGAAAAAAAGAGTTCAATCAATTCGTCGTTCCGCCGTGTGACATCACATGCCAATTGACATGCATTCTATGCCTAAACCAGTTGAGAGGGCCTTCAAAAAAAGACACCTGCTGGATCCGCTGAGAGGGCCTGTTTGACCTCCCACGCCACCGGCAGTCAGGACTTTGCCGCCGGGCAGTTCGTCCGCGTCGCCGCTCGGATCGGAGTTTCGCTCCGGGCGGGGCGGGGGCGGAGGTGAAACGGGGCGGCTTGTGGCGACCGGGGGAATGAAAAACATGGAGAGTTTCCAGGGACTTCCAAGTGGAATCGATCATGCCATTCCCAACTGGCAATTTTTGTGAGTATGCCAAGTTGAAAGATGACTGAAGCATGGGAAAGATTGATTCTTGATGGTTCTTGCAAAGAACTCTCATTGACGAACTGCTGCAGCCAGAGGTTGGCCTAAAGGCCAAGAGCGAGCTCAATGGCAAGGTTGGCTTGCTGGTGGAATGGGATGAGGCCGGTGTTCTTTGGCAAAAGCGAGGTGTAGAACAGAATGAGAAGATTGCGCCTTAAGGTTTTAGCTCTTAAACATACATGATGATCATCCATCAACTTGCATCACAGAGCCAAAGCACAGAGAGACCCTCTATCCAAGCATCGCGCGAACAACGAAGAGACATAGATTGTATAGTTGAATCCCCAATCCCCACCCCCAAAACACATTATCTCATTAAAGTCCATCCACTTTGACAAATAGTTGACCAATCACCTCCTTCTACTCGGCGTCCAGGCCAACAGCTATTGGAAGGTCCGCATGGAGGACGGCACGGGTAAAGCCTTCCGCCCGGCGCGGGGACCAAGCATTCGAGAGTGCGAGGCCACTGGTGGCTGTTTCATGCCAAGCATAGCACTTCAGGTCAGGGATTCTTTTTGGATGCTTGGTGCCCTCACACAGATTCGTGACAGTTAAAATGTTCCAGTGCTTCACATTCCATCTCTCTTTCATTTGCATCCTCCTCTCTCTCTCTCTCTCTATCTCTCTATCTCTTCAGTTCACTCAAAAAGAGAACGGCCGCCGCCTATGGACTATCCAACCCGTACGCCCCGCGAGCCGGCGTGGAGCGGCGTGGAGCGGCGTGCAGCGGCGCCAGGTGAACCTGGAGCCGCACCAAGTGCCCCCACCGACCGCCGAGCGCGCGGAGCGCGCGGAGCGCGCGGAGCGCGCAGAGCCCGAGGGTTGTGCGGAAGCCCGAGGGAGTCGGTGAGAACGGCGGAGATCGGATCTAATCATGCTATATCATGCTGCCATGCGATAGGAAGAAGGCTCTACTACTTACTGTATTTATATAGATCACTTGATTTTTTCTTGTAGTAAATAGTAAGGGCTCCGCCCTGGTGCCGCCGACCCCCATTTTGGCCAAACGGATCCTTCCCACTCACATTCCCCTTCGGGTAGCTAGAAGAGCGCTGGATTACCTCCCTGTGGATCCCCAGTCCTGTCTGAGAAAGGACCTGGGCTCCCGGACCGTTGTCACCAGGGGTCCATAGCCAAGTCCACTGTGAGACAAAGTTGGGAATATCAAAATCATTCAAAATCTAACAAATTGGCTAAGTTGGATACCTGAACCTCCATTCCAACCACCCATCGGCTCAATCCGCTGCATCTCGCACAACAGCGCTGCATTTTCCACACCATCCGTGGGGAAACTCAGCTGAACTCCGCGGAAGCGAGCTTGTTTGTCAGCCTCAGATATCACATGTGCAGCCCTAACAACATGTCGGGGAAGCTTCGGGAAACCTTTGGGTTCAAAAGACTATTTTGCACTTCTCAGCCAGGGGGGCCCAGTGAACCAACGCATGTTGCTTTTGCGATACTGCGCAGCACTGCTTGATTCGCCCAATCCAGTCCTCTGTATGGAAGGAGTCGTACTTGCGGCAATTCAATCCTTGGCTGTTGGCTTGTACTGAGTCGTTAATCAACGTTGAAATTCCAACGGGGGGGTTATATAAGCCTTGGCTCTGTCGATTGACTGTACCCGGAGCAGCTCTTGAAGACCCTGCAGGCATGAGTGTCACTCCAGGGGGCAGTCAAGAATTAAGCACAACATATGTGGCACCATGGCTTAAGTAGGCCATTTACCAAGGCGCATGAAATTTGGGCCGGCAAGGCCACATCAGTTCACCAGCATCAAGAGCTTTGACCGCTAACTGCATGTAGGATTTGATGCAAGTTTCCTGAGCTAGTTAGAAAAGGGGATCTCAATCTTCAGGTGTTAAAATGGGCAATGCAAACCATTCCCAAATTCCACCAGGTGACAACTTGGCGGTTCATTTTCTGGATGGCGTCCAAGCTCAAATACCGGCCCTCATCCTCCAAGGTTTGATGGAACTCGGCAATTGCACACCTGCAATCCCGAACGGTGCCCCAGTCGCTAAACGGGTATCGATCGGCTGACGTTCGACATGTGCTGGGCGAATTCCCATTAACCTTTGGGACCTTTGGGACCAGTAGATCGTTTTTGATTTTGTGTGATTGACCCATGGGACCCATATGGAAAAGTTCCTCCTAAGTTGCACCACCAAGGCACACACAAGTCCGCACCAAACGGATCTCATGATCATCCGGGATGTTGCGCTTCAAGAAATCACTCAGCCACTTAATGCAAACACGGGCCTTGGGGCCAGCTACCGTGCTAGTGCATGAGGGGATGAATGGTTAAGTTCTCAAGCCCAAACAAAAGGCAACCCATAGGCCCGTTTTTTGGAATACATCGATAGACACCAAGTGACGTTCCATGCTTTGCTCTGCAATTCCGGGACCAAGTGAATGGGACAGTGAGACGATGATATATATATGTTTTTTAATATCCAGCTGTATCCATATATATTATATAAGCGCTAGCATCTATTCGACAGCTAGATATCCAATATCGATCTCTCTCGATGCATCCGAGGAAGGCCTGTTCAGTTTGGTGCGGAGGAATGTTTTTGGAGGAATCCAATTTTAGGCTGATAGTTTTCACCCCATAGCCACAATCCAACAACCACACAGGTGCCCATGCAGCTGGGCACAACATGCATATCGCAAAAGTGCAGTATGCCATCGCAAAAGATACTATCTCCAGTCGTGCATTGCAAGAAAAACCGGATCTGGGGAGGGAGAAATTAACGTGGCTGCAGCGACATGACCAAGTGCGGAGGGTTATATGGGGTTTTGCCCTTGTGCGTGGGCATGCCAGTGACGGCAACAGACCACCTGGACCGCCGCAGAGGCATACTGAAGGGATGATATCACAAGACCAAAAGACACACATTTGGAACCAGCCCCCCAACATGTATTTTCGTCCAATTCACAACGAAAACGCAGTGGCGAGTCCAAGGCCTGGACAAGGACAACGTCTTTCCTGTGACGCTTCAACGGCAACCATGGCACATAGACAAAGGCAGGAGCCGGCCAATGCTACGCGTCGTCCGGCGGCAATTTCCGCTGGCCCCAGGCTTTGCAACGACTGCCCACGCCGCACAGGGTCAAACCTACGCAGAGGGTGCAATGACAGACATGCAAATCGGCGAAGGCGGAGGCCCCATGACAGCGTACATTGCGGTGACACGGGTGAGAGATAGAGAGGGTTTATACAACCCTTTGATGCCTCGCCATACCAGAAAGGATGTAGCGTGGGGAGGGCTCTGTTGTTGCAGACCTGGCGTGGGGACTGCATCGATTGGGCAACGCACGCGCTACCGAGAAGAAGAAGAAGCGTGCAGCCAGTGCCGCGAACGCAAGCCCAAAAGCGGGTCCGTACACTGCAGGGCAGTGGAAACGGGAAGCAGCCGCGCGGGTGTGCAGAGAATGCGTGCGTAACCATGCGGCAAACAACACGCCGTGGCAATGCAGCGTATGCAAAGCATGGCAGGACGAGGCCGCCTTTGCAAAGCAATACGCGCGCCCACAGTGCACTTTCTACCGCGTGTGCCACACGTGCGAAGTGCAGAAGCCGTGCTGCAAGTGCGGCGTGGCAAAGCCGGCGAGCGCGTTTGGAGCTTCTGCGTGGAAGGCGCGAAATGCAGACCGACGTTGTTGCAAGGACTGCGCAGTGAAAGTGACAGGTCACTGGCGCTGCGGAGTGTGCAGTGAGCAAAAAGCACGCGAGCACTTCAGCGCGTGGACACGGCAAAGCACGAGGCAAAATGGAAAGCAGCGTTGCAATCCGTGCTTCCAGGCAACGGAAATACGGGCGGCTGCAAAGAAGGCAAAGGGCAGACTATACAAGCTGCGAGTGCAGGACAAGAGACAGCAGGTAATCAGGTGCATTCGGGCAGAAAGCCCGGACAGCGTACGGCCGTTGCTGCGAAGAAGCGTGATTCGACAAGCGATACGCCGTGCGACTGCATGGCAGACGAAGGTAGCGGAGGAAAAGAGACAGCAAGTCATAGCTCTTGTCAGGGAAGAGATCGCTGACCGTGCGCAACAGATGGAAACACAACCAGAGAAGCAAGCAGAGCCGACAGAGACAAAGACCCCGCCCCGCACAGCGACGACGCGAGCAGCGTCGGAAGAGCCAGCAGCAAAGCGTGCAAAACACGAGTCGGTCAGAAACAATATGCACACAGAGCAATAACGGACGAGGGCAGAGGGAACTGACCAGATGCGAGGTCCACCCGAAGATACAGTAGAGCTGGCTGGACAGAAGGCCGGCCAGGAAACATTCCGATATGTCTGCCCGGTGTGTCAGGCATCTGTGAGAAGCACCGTGCGCACAGGGGAAATAGATCACCGCCGTGCATGCGGGAATCGTTTTCGTGTCAAAGACGGACACGTTGCCGCCAGGGAGTTTGTCTATGGTTGTCCATTTTGCCAAGGGAGCGTTGCGAGTAAAGTGAAAAAAGGGCGAATAAATCACGGAACCGTGTGCGGCAACAAGTTTTATGTCAAAGACGGCGCTGTTAGCGCGCAGACACGGCAGCATCCGCACAGGTGCCCGGCATGCCACACTGTGGTCTGGTCAGCGCTGTCGTCTGGGCGCATTCAAGCCACACACAAGACGCCGTCGGGAAAACAATGTCCGAAGCGTCGGTGGAATGCATGTGGAGAACTGTGAGCGTGCATCGGGCAGGCGCACCTTCAAGAGAAGTATGTCCAGACCGGCCAAACGTCCCGGGAACGGTTTGAAGCCTGCACTGTCCGCACCCGAGGAAGGTTTGCGGGCACAAGCAACGGGCGCTTTCGAAACGCCAGGCAAGGCTGCAGTGCAGGAGTGCAGCAGAGGTCCCGGGAAGGGTTTGACGCCTGGCAGACGGCACTGTTCGCACCCCAGGAGGGTTTGCAGGCGGGCAAACGGCCCCCAGAAAGGTTCGCGGGCGCGCAAACGGCCTGCAGAGACGTTTGCGGGCGGGGTTCGTGGGTGTCTAACGTTGCCTTCGGAAGCCCATAGAAAAAGCTTTCTGGGCCAAGCTGCGGCCTTTGGCCGGCGTAGCTGAGAGGTCCCGGGAAGGGTTTGACGCCTGGCAGACGGCACTGTCCGCACCTCAGGAGGGTTTGCGGGCGGGCAAACGGCCCCCTGAGCGGTTCGCAGGCGCGCAAACGGCCTGCAGGGATGTTTGCGGGCGGGGCCCGTGGGTGTCTAACGTTGCCTTCGGAAGCCCAGAGAAAAAGCTTTCTTGGCCAAGCTGCGGCCTTTGTTTGGCCAGTGCAGGAGTGATGCCGACGCAGGGCTTTGAAGGCGGGGGTGGCTGCTTAACGTGGCATGCTGGGGCTTTCGTTTGCACTGCCACCCGTTCCACCCTCCGGTGTCCCTGGCGCCGCCCCGCTTAGGCAAAGGCTAAGCAGGGGTCGGCGGACACACTGTGAAGTTTAATAAACATACCTGTGAGGCAGTTCATTTATTTGCTTCTGTTTCATGTCTTCGGGGGTTCTTCGGTGGTTGATCTTGTGGATAGTCACCCTCTCAAACGCGAAGACAACAGCTTCTGTGTTCACCCAACCCACCCCCACCTCTGAGGCACGATCCCACCGCCCCCGCCAGATGAGCCAGCCCCCGCGCAGGCGCTTCAGTGTGTGTGGCAATGGGCAACTACATTGGGGGATGATCGACAAGAGTTACGTCTGACACGGAGAATCCTGATTATCCTTCACACCCTCCATCAATAAGTTCATAAAAGCAGTATAAAACAAACAATAAAAGACGATAAAAGAAGCACATCCTCTTTCTGTGCAGCCATTGGCCTCAGGACTTGCCTCCGGGCCCACCCGGGCCGCCCGGAGGTCCGCCCGGGCCGCCCGGGCCGCCCGGTCCACCGGGCCCGCCGGGCCCGCCGGGCGCTGCGGGTGCCAACGGGGTGAAGCCGAAGGCGGGGGACGAGGAAAGCCAAGTCGAAGGAAAGCAAGTGGAAGCAAGCATAGAGACTATAGTGACTTTATAGTGACTATAATCTATATAGACACTTTGTGAACATGAAGCTCTGATTGGGCCTTTAACGTCGCCGAACGCAATGGACGAGTCATTCATCTGCAGGAACATTGGCTCATTCAGATTAGGCCATTTCCCGCGACTCGCTCTCGCGGATTCCATATCCCGCTGCGATGCGCATCTGGCGAGTCGTTGCTTTGCTGATCGTCGGTGGCTTTTCTGCTCGCGTGAAAGATCCTGGCAAAGATCCTTCGGACTGGCGGGCAGTGAAGATAGTGGTGAACTCTAACAGGCAGGGCCTTGGGGTCAGGGAGTTTGGCAGCTCTCTTTCCAAAGATCCAGGCAGTCATCTGTCCCGACCTTTCCAATCCTTTCCAAAGTCCTTGACCTTTCATTCCATCCTATAGGTCCTAGTGGTGTCCCTTCCGAAAATCCGATCGGCTTTCCATCCACTTTCCAGGAAGTACCAGCTGCCGCTGAAGATGCTGTTGGACTCGATGAGAGCCATCAAGTTCCAAAACCTCACCGACGTGATCATTGTCATCGGAGGAGCTGCCGCTCTTCCCGCAGCGGCTTCTTTTTGGGGCGGAGGGAGCGAGCCACGGAAGGGACTCGGAGAAGGGAGCCAATGGGGATGGTGGACAGCAGCTTGCTGCTTGTGTTTTTGGGCACCAATCGAAAAAAAGGCAAAGGACAGGTATACTAGGATTGCCACTGTCACCCACATGTTTATGCTCACCCAAGAATTCTTAGACCTCCCGTTCCGAGGATTCCGAGAAGATCTACCGTGAGGACGGACTCACCTACATCGAGACCGCCTTCATGCACCTCGGTCCGCGAAGCTCTTCGCTCCGCTCCGCTTGAATTGACCTAGTGCCTCTAGAGCGGCCTTTTTAGATGCAATTTGCTACAGATCACATCAGATCAATGATTGAACCCATCTTTTCTGCCATTTCGCGTGTGAACTGGCGCGTTTTCTTTCTTTTTCCTCTCTCTCTTTGAGGAACTTCGATCTGACGGGCCTCTCGATGCTCTGGCATTACAAGGATCACCCCTTCGTGCAGGACGGGAGCGGGATGAGAGGGGCGGGGACTCGGTTGAATCTTCGGGGTGATGGGGAGAGGACATGATGTGTGAATTGTCATCCAGGGCATTTGCATTTAATATAGTTAGTATGAATTGTGCAGGATGATGATTCATTAAGACATTTTTGGGAAGGAACTGCTGGATGAATTCCTAAATGTGAGTAACAGTTGGAGGATTTTTCTGGGAATCACCTCCATGTGATCCCATGGTCTCCACCTGGTTCTGAGCTTCAACGGATGACTGATACGACTCAGTGACCCGAGCAAGCATCGGAAGTTCTTTGATGAAAGCAAGGTACCCAACACCTTGTAGGTTGGATCAAGAGGTTTTTGTTTGAGGAGTTGTTTGAGGTTCACCCTCCCGAGTAGACTCAGTAGTAGACTCTATTGTAGACACTGTAGACTCTTCATTCTTGTTTCTCGCCAGAACCAGCAGATGGGGACGTAGCCCATAGCCAGCCCTTTCACAGAGTCTTCCACCGGAAAAGAATTCAGACATGGTGAATGGATGGCGTGATAGAAACAATATAAATATCATTGTATGACCAACATCCAAACGATGTGACATAATCCAGGGCCCTTTTCATACACAGATCCACCCGAGAAGTGAGCGAATTGGGGGTCTCTTGCAGGCCCATGCATATTTGTACACCTTGGACACGACTACCGTGGGCATTGGCTTCCAGCAGAAGTTCAATGCGCTGACCAGCCTCAATTACGATGAGACTCGTGCAGCGTTTCACACATGTGCGAGACATGCAGAGGCCTTGGCCTCCTTTCTTCCGGTACTCAAGAGTATCTCAGAGTGCTCTTAAGACTCCAAGAAGGTCAGGTCCTCAGGTTCCAGGATGCTTTTGGCTCCTTTTGCCACTTGGACCTCCCAAAAACGGTCTGCTTGGACCGTTGGACACACCGTTTGACCAGACCCACCGTTGGACACGTAGTCCTCGACCGACTCTGGGAGCGGCCGCTCCGAGGACTACGTGGGCTTCGAGCGGCCGGCGTCCAACATCTGCGCCTTTGGGCGTGGAGTTCTGGAGAAGTTCCACCAGAACTTCGAGAGGAAGTTGAGCAAATACGAAGGCAAGTCAGTCGAAAGAAGAAAGATGCCCGGGTGGTGGTTGGTGAAACTGTTTTGGGGTGAAACCGGTGAACCTCACGGTGGTTTCGGCGTCTTTTGCTGGGGTTTTGGCAGGTTTCGGCAGGAAGGACTGTGGAAGACCAGCTTGGGTTCCTGGGTTGTTCACCTCCCCCCTACTCGTACTATCGCTACTCATTAGCCTCATAGGTCTTTTCAACCAGCGAATTCACGGAATTCACCTTCTACAATCTTGGAACACTGAAAAGGCGGTCTGAGTATTCTGAGGTTTCTGACAGACTGGAGAACATCGAATTCCCACTATCTTCCCCACATCTTTTTGAGGCTTTGCGGTGTGTTCCACTCTGCTTCACGCATTTTCACGCACTGTCAGGAATGCTTTATGAATTCGGCTACGAGCCACAAGGTGTGAAGCTGCTGCAAGAGACTTGGAGTGGATTGCACATGAGACAGCACTTTCCAGAGATGGGTGTGGGTCAATCAATCCTGCATACTCAAAGCCATGGTGACTATAGTGGGTGAACACAGCCCAAAGCCTCATTCTAAGAGATTCTATTCTATTCTCTGTGTGGGGGCCTGTGTAGGTTCTTGACCCACACCCATGTGTTTGAAGTTGAACAGTAGGTGGGTTTCCTGCTTTCTCTTGGGATGACGGGTGTGCTCCTTGAACATATGGGAGTCGTTCTAAAACCCGTGTAATGTTTTTAGTGGACGAGTGACATTCTAGCTTTTTGAAGTTGTGTTTACCTGCAGGGTCGAAAGGATGCGAGAGCGCGGCGAAAGGTTTGGCGAAAGGCTAAACTTGATAGAAATATATCATAGATAATTCATACATGTATGCACATGTTGTGCATATCTCTTTGTGTCTAAAACAAACAGGGAGAGTGGTTTCCATGCAAGGCGTGATAGGCAGAAAGCTGCAAGAGTAGTGGCTAAGCATGTAATATCTTGAAGGATATGTATCACCAGCTTAGCGAACACCCCAGCATGTCATAGATGCGTACGAAAAGAAACAGACAGCAATAAGAAATCTTGCAGACGGATCACAAGAGAAGATTCAAGTAGCAAAATTCCCCAAACCGAACGAGGAAAAACGCGAAAGCTTCGCGAAAGCGACGCGCAAGGTTGGCGAAAGACGAGCCTGCCCGAAACCATCGGGAGCCCAAATGGGCTAGTCCAGAGTCCACGCCATGTCGCGTCTTGCTTTATCTTTTCCAGGAATGGGTGAACAACAACTGTCCCGAAGCCAAGCGCCCCAACCGCAACACCACCTTGCCCAATGCAAGTGCCAAACCTCATCAGTGACAGGGAAAAAACTGCAAGAAATCATGCGAAACAATTACTTCGAAGACGGAGTCGATGGCAAGAAACGAAGCAAGCTGCAACGAAAGATGTTTGAACGCCCATGAAGGAGAAAAGATCTACCGAGCGCCCTTGGAATAACGGGAACCAAAAACCAAAGTTATCCAGAATCCACAATCCACACTCCCCAAAGTAGTAAGTAGCAGCGGCACATTTATTGTTGCATATACGATGGATGAACTTTTGTGGCTCTACTCAGGTCCTCCACCGAAAACGAAATAACGAAAATAATATCATATATCCTAATACATTTTACATTGGGGGCGAAAGGATGCGAAAGATCCGCGAAAGCGCGGCGAAAGAACAATTTTTGGGAACCATAATTTTGAACAACCCCCATATGGGGAAGCTATACTTTTCGCGAACGTTTGTTTCAGCCACAACAGGATCCATTCACGCATCATTCATAATGCAGAGTAAGTATTTAGAGCAGTGAACAGATCTGAAGGGTCCCAAAAACTCAGCAGACTGCCCGAATCGGGATGAAGAAAAACTCATGAATGGATGCTAGAGTGCTGGAGTGAATATGACCTTCCCACCATGATTCTGTTGCTGGGCCAGTTTGCAACCTCTTGATGCTCCGATGCATACCCAGAAGAAACCATCGAAGACATAGAGACTATACAGGAAGACAACAACCAGCAACTTTTTCCCCCCCTTTTCAAAAACGACTCTCTCTCCCTAGTTGCTATTCCACAGACTCGACATATTTCTCAAAAAAAAAGGAAACACACCGAATCCAGGCTTTGGTTTCCTTCGACCTCCGCTTCTGCGTGACGCTCCGCGCGGTCCGCGCGGTCGGTCCGCGGTCGGTCGGCCGAGGACCTGGCGGAGAACGTGACGGTGCTGCCGCGGCGCCGGGACCACGGCGATCCGGTGGACTTGTACCGCACCGGGCATGCGCGACATGCGTTTTGGTGCCTGGGGCCGGTGAAGGGAACGTGAGGAAAAGCTTCGGAGGTAGTATGAGGGGAGAAGGATGGGGAAGGTAATTATAAGGTGTAAGGTATGAATAAGGTATATGATATAAAGGGGCGAGATGCACTGTGAAGGACACCAATTGGGTGCAAGATGAGGACACCAGTCGGACACCATTCGTGTCCAGACCTGGTGACAGCGTGTCAAGGGAAAACGGTGGTCGGAGGTCGGGAGTGCCCAAGCCCGTTTTGGGGAGGCTGGAACGTCTCGGACATCGAGTGAAATCTGAGGGGTCATAGTTTCATCAAGTGAAACTCACATCATTGGCCGGAATCACTGGATAAAGTAGTGACATTCTACAAGAGAAGCAGAGCCCTGCAGCCACAAATCAACCTGCAACTCCTTGGCACTTGGTCGTCGGGATGTTGGACGTCCTTGTTGTCCTGCACACATAGTTTGGATCCTTGTGGTACCTGC